TAGGAAGTATATATAAACTAAAATTATTTCTTCATATGGTCTTATAATCATTATATTTTAATATAGAAACAAAATTTTAACCTTGATCCTAAAATTTTATGTGAGATTTTTAACAGTTTTAGTAATTTATACTCATTTTGAAAAATTTGAAATACAACATACACAAAAAAAATCTAGATTTTTATTATATGATTAATGTAATTGTGTAATTTATTTTAAAAATAAAGAAATAAAAAATGAGAAAAAAATATACAGATTGTTATCAAATCTTTATTGTTTAAAATCATTAATTGTCGTATAAATATTTTAATCACATTAGGTAATTCCGTAGGTTTTATTTAAGGAAAGCATGCGAAACAATAAATATTTGATATATGCGAACAACTATAGTCTACGAAATATTATATTGATAGAGAGTATAATTTTTAGACTATACATTATATCACATGCTCTAGAATCCTTGGGATTGAAATAAAAGGCAAAGAGCTATGCCACATAGGATTGAGGTTAATTTTAATTATTACAAACTTAAGGTTATAACTTTTTAAATGATTCTCAATTAATATATAGGGGATTCTATAAGTTCTTTTTTGTTTTTTTTTGCATCAGATTCATAGATATATCTTCTAATATGTGATCTATAACATTCAAAACTCTTAAAGAATAAATGTTTTGTTGAATCCAATTTGTTGGCCATAGAGGCTGGAATCTTCACGGTGGATCTCTGCCGAGTTCTCCGGGGCGCCGCTTAATGGGGCACCACAGTCACGGTTCAGAACCTAAACTTATATCAAATGTTTATAAAGAGTGATTCAAGTGGAGATATATGTTTATATCAAATGTCTTTATCTGTATTAAAAATATAAAATGGTTAGACACAACTCTTTATCAATCGGTCATGTTCCTAATTTAATAGTATTAACTAGATTCTGATCTACCTTTTTAAAGAGTGGATATATATATTTAATTTCAATTTTTTGAGAAATTTAAATTCTACATTTATGTTATTTTTGTAATAATATTTTTGTTTCTAAATCTCTCTAAGTATGTGTATTTTATATGGATCCAAACACACGATGCGAAAATATAGCTAGGTTTTGTTCTTGTCTAAAGAAAATTACTTATTGATTATTTTTTGAAACCCGTAAATTTTGATTCTAGTCCGGATCATAACCGAGACCCGGTCGGATATCCAAAGCACTATATTAGGTATGTTTGGGTATTTCAAAATTAAATTTTATATTTGTGAAAATAGGTTAAAATGGTTTATATTTACACATGAATTGTGTGCACATCAATTCTGTATAAACATATAAAGTGGACAGTTACATATATAATTATATATTTAAAATGTGAATAATAATTAATTTTATTTGTGCATAATATTATTTCTAAAATTCTAAATGTTAAAGTGTTATTATGAATTTCAATATAAGTTTGGGTTACAGAACATGTATATAACCGTTAACTAATGTATGTCTGTTAATTACATTTTAGATTTATAATTTGATATTTTGATATACATTGTGTTAACTTTCTTTGCATACGCAGATTCCCGTCTGAAAAAAAAAAGAATTCAAATTTTTGCCTCTCGGAGACAAAAACCATGGGTAAAAAAACTTGAAATCAAGAAAAGTGTCTGACAAATCACCTTCTCTAAACAACAACGTAATTGTTGCTTCAAAGCTTGTACGCTTTGTATTTTTTACAATGCGTTCGTCCTAATTTATTTTAGTGTTGTTCGGTTTAGTTTGCTTTTATTGTGTGAATTCAATAGAAGTGGAAGTTTCAATGTTCTTAATATATAACCGACGAATAAAGTTTGAATTGAGTAAAATGGGTCTCGAGATTTTTGAGATTAAAATGGAGGGTTAATAAAAGGGAAATTGCATCTCATAGCTACAAAAAATAAATAAATTAGGTAACTAATCAAATACCCCTTCTCTTTCTTCCATCCTCTTCCTATATCTCTCTTCCCTCTCTCTAAAAATCTAATTTTTTTTGCTAATAAGGAACAAAAAAACTTATGTGTTGTCCTCTTAGAATCATTTTGGTCATTGTTGTCCACTTAGTACTAATATTAATGTTAACCCCATTTAGTCCCTCATTAAACCAAAAATATTATCAAAAAAATAATTTAACTTAGAATTTATACATTTTTTACAAAAATACATATAGTTACAAGTAAAACCTAAACGTGGGTTCTCGTCATCTTTTTTCATCTCCATCTCACCTCGGCCTTCCTCTTGTGTTCACTCCGTTCAATGGTAACTTGGACAACCTGTTTTTTTTCCTCCTCAAAATCTTTTCTTCTTCTCCATCTCAGTAACACAGTATTCACAAAACCCTTTAGTTCCATCCATCATAATCATGGAAGCTCGAGATATCCCCAACCCTAAGTACCAATAAAAAAATCCAGAACCTATTTCCGTCGCCTTTGATCACGAGACAGTAAAATCAAAAGACCATGTAAGCATCGTGAAATCAAGTTTCTTCAATCTTAAAAAAGCCATTGAAGCATCCCAAAATCCATAAATGTCTCACAGTCCAAAAGATGTTTACTGTGAATCTGTTATTTCTTGCACTCCTAAATTTTTTTATTGTTTGGTCAATTTTTAATTTCTTGTGATTTAAGTCAAAGGAACAGGTTGTTCCTCTTCAAGTTCCCGGCTGTTTGCATTGGTTAGTGTGCATAATTGCTATTGGGTTGCTTATTAGATGAACACAGGTTTTATGTTTGTGTTAGTAAAATCCTTATTGGACCATGCAAGGGTGGATCAACACCTTACACTGATCAAATCCTTATTGCCACCATCCAATTGCTTTTGACTTTTGAATCTCTCATTTTGTTCACCTTTATTAGTTCCTATTTCAAGTTGTGATCAAGTTTTGCTAGGTGTGTAGGCAAAAAACGTAAGGAGGTTGGCGGAAGATCTTCAATCCAAAACAAAGAACTTATGCTTGCAAACTTTTACCTTTATATCACTTTAAGATGTTTAAAGATAAGATGTTTAATCCAAAAGAAGAGTGTATGCTTTCAAAGTTTTAAAATGTTTAAGGATGTGGTATAAGAGATACATGTGTTCTTGCTTATGTTGTATCATTGATNAAACGTAAGGAGGTTGGCGGAAGATCTTCAATCCAAAACAAAGAACTTATGCTTGCAAACTTTTACCTTTATATCACTTTAAGATGTTTAAAGATAAGATGTTTAATCCAAAAGAAGAGTGTATGCTTTCAAAGTTTTAAAATGTTTAAGGATGTGGTATAAGAGATACATGTGTTCTTGCTTATGTTGTATCATTGATAAAAATTCAGAAGCATGAGCTATCCGACTCAGTTTAGCGACCGTAAGTAATAAGTAAAAGACTTTTAAATAGAACCACTCAGGCATATGTGTAAATGAAATTACCAGAACAGTGACGGCAATCACATCAAGAAATAGTGTTGATCTATGTTGTAAATAATTTGATGCAAAAATACAAGTCTTGTTCTCTGTTCGTATAAGTCATACGACAAAGTGATAGAGAAGAGTGTCTAAGAACACATACGGGGATGATGAGATGTTCTCAAACTTGCATTTTACTAAGTATGACATAAGTATCAAAATACTAGCTATATAAATTGCGTCAATATAAGAACCATAAAACCACTCGTATGAGTTCACCACGACAATTCCACAAAGATGCTAATTGCTTCCTTTGAGTACTTTGCGTACTAAATTCTATAAAGATGTTAACTTCAAGGATTAGTGTTATAAACAGCAAAAAAAGGACGAAAATTAGGAAAACATGTGCAGTGCAATTACTCGAACTCGGGTTACTAATAGAGGTTTTAGACATATAAACCACTGAACCAAGTTATCATATTGTCATATAATAAAAAAAAGGTAGTATATAATAGGTTATATATACCAAATATGAAACTTAAACACGTTCATGGCAAAAAATATTAAAAAAAGGAAACAAAAATATTTAGAGAATATTTACTAACCATTATTCTTTAGATTTTCCTAGATTTTCGGATGGTGGCTCATAAACCGTTGGTAGAAGATACATTCTACCAAATTTTCCATTAGTTTAACTAGTGGAAACGTAATCCCACGAGTGTAGACAAAACATTAAAACTAAGAAGATATGTTCTGCCAAGGTAGACGGCTGGGTCTTTAGTATATGCTATGTTCTACTGAAACTGTATAACAAAGAAGGAATGTCAGTTATCATATTCTTCATTCGTAGATGTATATGTTTTTGGTGTATTACGCATTCTAAGCCCTTTAGATGGATTAGTTGTTAGTAGATTGTACATTCTGAACCGCCGTAGATGGTAGATCTGATTTACTACCCGATTTATCCAATTTTTGAGATTACTATTCCAAACATTTTTTGAATGTAAAAATATTTTTCATATATTCACATGCTACTCTATTTCATATTGTATATTTTTCCTCAATTTTTTACCTTGTAAATTTTTTACTATGAATTTTTATATACANGATGGTAGATCTGATTTACTACCCGATTTATCCAATTTTTGAGATTACTATTCCAAACATTTTTTGAATGTAAAAATATTTTTCATATATTCACATGCTACTCTATTTCATATTGTATATTTTTCCTCAATTTTTTACCTTGTAAATTTTTTACTATGAATTTTTATATACAAAAAGGGTAGTGAAGGTCCAAAAGTGCAAAAATATGATTTTATTCTAAGGGGACAATAGTTGTGTTTTTCGGTCCCCTTTTGGCAAATTTCCCTTTTTTTTATGGCTATTTCACAAATAAGCCCTTAATAAAAATAGTTACAGTTCTATATTTTTTTTTAAGTAGATCACATGGAAAAAAAAATGTTGGATTGAACTTTTATCAATGGATGTATATTTTAATAGTATTGATGCGAATGTAAACAATAAAGCTTAGGAGAATATAACATTTTGATAAAGAAACTGGGGAGCACTACAATGGATGTAACTTTATAATATAAAGATAGATAGATAGATGGCGAGAATCTATACCCATTCACTCACTTGCTCCACTAGTTTTGGATTTGACTTTCATTCCTCTCATCGCCTTATATTCCCCAGAAGTCTCACTCTTCCGCACTCCAAAACTCAATCCTCGTAAGCCATCTCTGTCTATTCTGTATGTGTTCTCACGAACTGAGAGTGATTCATGGTGTTTGCTTTGATGGGTTTCTATGTTTGATTGTTTTCAACCCGAAAGTTTCAATCTTTGATTGGTTTCTGAATGTTATCTGATTATGTTGGTTGGTTTGTTAAAACCGTGGATGATGAATCTATTTACATGAATCGTTTTTAATCATTAGAGATTGGTTTGTTTGTTTCAGTTGCAAAGCTTGGACTCGAATGGTTGTAGCCATGGATTCTGTTGGAACTGACTCAACTAAGGAATTGCATGTTGGCTTGGACTCAGCTACCGAGGAAGAGTATGCAAAACAGTCAAAGTTACTTAAAGAGTTCTTAAGTGTCCCCAGCATTGACAAAGCCTGGACATTTAACTCTGATTCTGGTAATGACTTTCTTAACATTTTCAAGCTGGAATCAAGATCATCTGACCAAAATGAAATGATGATTTCAGGTACTCAGGTAATGGTTGCCATGAGTCAGGCAAGCCTTTTGGCTAATAAAAGGAGGAAGTTTATGTTATCTGGTCATATCTCGAAAGAAGAAAGTAGTAACCAATCTGTAAACTTTCACTGGGCGCCATTTCCCATCGAGATGACTGGTGCTTCAGCTTTTGTCCCGTCTCCATCTGGTCTGAAGCTCCTTGTCATTCGTAATCCCGAAAATGAATCTCCTACAAAGTTTGAGATATGGAGTTCATCACAGCTAGAGAACGAGTTTCATATTCCACAGAAAGTTCATGGCTCTGTATACGTTGAAGGATGGTAACAACACTTTTCTTTTTAGTTGATTTTAGTTCTTGGAGAAGTGAAAAAAATGAGTAAGGTTACATGTGTGTGTATGATGTAGGTTTGAGGGGATCTCTTGGAACTCAGATGAGACTCGTGTTGCTTATGTTGCAGAGGAACCATCTCGTCCCAAACCTACGTTTGACCATCTAGGTCATTACAAGAAAGAAACTTCTTTGGACAATGATATTGGAAGCTGGAAAGGTCAGGGAGATTGGGAAGAGGAATGGGGAGAAGCATATGCCGGAAAAAGGCAGCCTGCGTTGTTTGTTATTGATGTTCACAGGTCTCATCAGTCTCTCAATAGAAAAAGAACAGTTACACTTTTTGACATTTTCTGATAATTGGTTGGTTCTCTCTTTTTTTTTTTTTGCTAGCAGTGGAGAAGTTGAGCATATCAAAGGAGTTCCAAGATCGATAAGTGTTGGACAGGTTGTTTGGAGTCCAAACATTAAAGGCTCAGCTCAGTACTTAGTTTTTGCTGGATGGTTAGGAGATAAAAGAAAGCTTGGTCTCAAGCACTGCTACAACAGACCATGTGCCATATACGCAATAAGATGCACAGAACCAAAGTGAGCCTTTGGCTTCTATAAAAACAACTTGATCACTCCTTATTTCCGAAGAGTATTCGATAGAGTTTTTCTTTACTAATGTTTCAGTGGTGATGCTAACGAGGCATTTCCTATTCATAATTTGACTCAAAGCGTAAGCAGCGGGTTTTCCCCACGGTTCAGGTTTACATCTTATGAAATTCTTTCTCTTGTCTTCTAAAGTTATTTATTTACTAAAAGCATTTGTTCTCCTTGTTACTATATTTATCTATCTGAGCCATCTTACATAACATATGTTAAAGACTTACTCTCTCCACCATACATTTTTTTTTCCATCTCTCACAGCAAAGATGGCAAGTTTCTTCTGTTTTTATCCGCAAAGGCTGCTGTTGATTCCGGGGCGCATTGTTCAACCGAGTCACTTCACAAGATTAGCTGGCCAAGTGATGGGAAACTTCCTGAATCAACGAATATCGTTGATGTGGTGAGATTATACAGACCCTTTTTCAATCTTTATGGAGGCTTCAAACTTACTCTGATGTTATTTTGTTTCTTAAGAATATATAATAAGTCTCTTGACCAAAAAAAAAAGAATATAGATTAAGTCTTTATATTCTCACATATATTCTTCAATCTTATTTGATAATGCAGATTCAAGTTGTGAATTGTCCTGATGATGGTTGTTTTCCTGGTCTCTATCTTACCGGATTTCTGAGTGATCCATGGCTGTCAGATGGACATACTCTTATGTTGTCTTCTTACTGGCGCAGTTGTAGAGTAATACTCAGCATAAATTTGATTAGGTGAGTGATGAATATATATGTGAATAGGTTACAAATAACTTTCTGCTGCTGCGGTAATTGATGATAAAGTTACTTTTTTCTTGGGGAATTTCAGTGGTGAACTCTCACGTGTCAGCCCTAATGATTCAGATTATTCATGGAGCGTTCTTGCGCTAGATGGTGACAATGTTGTTGCTGGTAACATCTCTGAGCCAAGCTCTTAATCTCAGTTACTAACTGTGACATTTTCACTTTAAACTTAAACACACACCAGTCTTGAAACAACATTGTATTTTTGTGTGTGTGAGAAGTGTGTAGCAGTCCAGTGAGTGTTCCTGAAATCAAGTACGGAAAGAAAGTTCTTGATCCATCTGGGAAGCCTTCATGGCATTGGTCAAATATCCAAAAACCAATATTTAAATGCTCTGAGAAGGTAAAAATCGTATTTGCCAAATCCTCTTGATGTTAAGATTATTTTTGTATTAAATCTTTTTTGTTTATATTATACCCTTCTGCTGTCAGGGCTTTCATCTCTTCAGTTTAAAATTCTGAATGTTC